TCCGCTAGACGTATACTACACGTCAATCTCGCTCTCTCTCTCTCTCTCTCTCTCTTTATCTCTCTCGGTGACGTCGAAAGACTTTCTCCGGATTAATAGGCCCCGGCGCTCGGCTCACGCGCGCTGCTGCTGCCTATTTTAATGATACTTATTGTCATTGCTGATACACGCAGCGGCAGCAGCAGCAGCACAAAAGAAAAATAAACTTACGTCTATAGCAGCAACAGCATCAGAAGAAAAAAAATCGAGTACCGCACTCGCGTACGCGCGCGCACACACACACACAGACACGCGGAAATGAATGATTAGCCGCGTCGCTGCCGTAATATGGATTTTTGCGTACGCGCATAACGCGAGTATAATTTAGGCTCGCGAGGATCGATTCGAGAGCAGAACGCGCTATATAATGCGTTCTCTGTGTGTGTGAGTGTGTATAGGCCGCGTTACGTGACGTTCGTAATGATGGCTTCGCGTTATTTTTTTTTTTTTTTCATTCATGTAGGAGGATAGAGAGATTGAACGGTAGAGGATTGTCGATCGACTTGTTATTACAAAAAGATTATGTCAAATTTTGTTGCACACGTTGAAATGAACGTTTCAGGGGCGCGCACGATTTCGATTGCTCCTCTCTCGATCGCGAAATCGCCAAAACGAAAAAAAAAAATACAAGAAGGAGAAGAAGAAGAAATTATGCTATCAACGCGTCAAGATATTACGGCACCGACGAACGCTACATTATATCGACCGCTGCCTACATAATATGCGCGCGTCCGCGTGTACCGCGGGTATCCATTAAATAACGAAATTTCCGAGTGTCCGTGTGTGGCAAAACTCGATATGCGTATCCCTGCTCCGAGATTTTTTTTTCTTTCTCTTTACCGTTACGTTACCCCCGATCCGATCGATAAAAATAATAAATCGATAAATTTTTTTTTTTTTATTCAAAGGTCTTGCGCATCGCTCGCGCGCGACCTTGAGCGCGTATCGATGATTATTACTATCGATTTGTAATAATTTACATTATTATACAATATCGCGAATTTCGATGCGTCGCGAGAGACGGACGATGATTCGAAATCTCGCGGTGTTTCGATTTCGCTCCGAGACTCGTTTTAGCGCGGGTCATTGCGCATCGCAAGACGCGCATTACGAGCCAATTTACGTATGGCGTAGATGAAGAGAAGAATGAGAGGAAAAAAAGAATTAAATAAATGTCAGAGCGCATTGACAAATTTGCGAAGCGAAAAAATGCTCGAGACTTTCGAAAAAAAAAAGACAATTTATACCTCGTAGGCCCCCATGCACCCGAGACATTGGCTGTTATGCAGGAATGTCGCGTTTTCGGGCGAACGCAATTGCGAGTTGTTGCACACATATTACAATATTTCAGAACGACGCATTAATAATGGCCTCAAAAAGGACAGTTTGGGTGGTTTCAAAATGAAAAATATATTCGAACGACGATTCCCGTGTATAACGGACTGCATTTGTAGATGGTTGGAGCGCAATAAAAATTCATCTCCCGCGCCGCGATACACCGCAGAAGCCGCAAAGTATGATAAGTCGCGCAATGAATAGCCCGAGCCGATCGATGTTTGGTCCTCGCGCAGCTTTGAGAAACGACTGCGGAACGAAAACGAAGAGAGAACGTCGCAAAAATTATGGAATCGTGAGTGGCTGCACGCTGCGCCGCACAATCGATTCTCGACTTCGACGTTGTCGTTTCGAGGCGCACGGGATTTTCAATCAATACACCGGCTGCGGTTTTCCAAGTAGCAGCAGCCCCCCCAGCTCCGAGATAATATAACGAAACTCGTTAAAGCCGCGGCCGGTGGTATACATATTATACACCCGTTATTTGAACATTTTCACGCTCGTTATGAATTTTTCGGCGTCGTCGGTGCACGCCTAACGCGACAATAATATATAATTTAATTTATATACTTTTTGCACCCGGCTCACGCGGAGTTTTGACAGTTGCGCGAAAAGCACACGGATCGCGTGCCGATCGTTGCATTTTCTCCTGTTTTTTTTTTCTTCACGCACATGATATATTCGCGAATTTTTATCTTTTTTTGCGGTCGCGAGCACTGCGTAGATACGTATAATGTCATTATTAATATACCAAAGAGTTTCGACTGGTGAAAATCGACCGCACGCTTTTAATATATTTATATACATGTCCTCACACTTAACGAGCAATTGTGTTGTGCCATTGCGCGACTTTGTAATGTTTTTTTCCGGAAAATTTTAAGTGTACGTTTTTGCGCAGGAATTTTCGTCGTAACCTCGGAAAAATAAATGTCCCTTTTTCTCGCGCGTTTCATATATCATGCGCTAGCGCGTACATATGTGGGTCAAGTATTTTTTTCGAATTATAGCCAGTCTATAAACATTGTATTATAGGCGCAGAAATAATAATTAAGCAGCTATGATATCGATTAAAACGTGATCTAACGCCCGTGATCGAGCTCGCGTGCGCGCGCGCACACACAATTGGACGAGCAGTCGTAAAAATAAATAAATATAAAAATGAAAATATATACTCGCGTCGAGTATTTTATTTGCCGTGCGATAACTCGAGGCGATTTATCCTGCTACCCGATGCATCGGATGAATATTTGCCGATTATAAAACTACGGAGGAATTTTTCATTCCCGGTTAAGTAGCTTTAAATGTCAATTCTATACATAGAAACTACGCCGATCGATCGTTGGTCGTTACCGATCATCATCGTCGTCATCGTAGTCGTCGTCGTCGTCGTAATCGATTTCTACAACGTTATAAGCCGAAAAATATTTTCATCTACCCTCGACGGCAAAAAACAAATTGCATAGAATACGATGGATGCATCGCATTGACCCGAGAGCCGCTCGCATCGTTCGTTATTATGTCACACGCGCCTAAAGGCTTACACCCATTCGAGGAATCCGCGTGGTATGTTATGTACTTTTGGAGCCGAATTGTCAGCGCTGCACATGTTTTCTATATATCGTACGGCAATGCGACAACAATCGCAAATGATAATTTTTCCTGTAAACGCGTTACGTTTTTTTTTTATCCATTACGTACACAATCGTATAATATTCCGAGAAAAGGGAGCGATGTACGGCGCGTCGCGCCGAATTCCCTCGTGATTTTTCACAAATTGCCAATTTATTCCCTTTTTGTAATCGGTATTACGCGTGTATAAGACAACGACATCGCGCGCGATGACGTCTGTTACACACGAGATCGGGTGTGTGTATATACGCACGACGACGACGACGACGACGATCGGTATGCGCCTTTTTTTCGGGCGAAAATTCTCCCATACCGTGGAGATATAGGTGTCACATAAGAAAGTACGCACACATACGTCTCTCTTTCTCTCGCTGAAATTATATTTCTGACTTTATTAAAAGGAATATGCGGTAAATTATATACATATATACGCGAGTGCGGCATTGCGCAATAACAGACACGCTGCGCCACCGTCGACTTTTTCTTTTCTTTCTTTCTTTCCCGTTTCCCGTAATAGTCGCGCGCGTTTGGCGCGTTTAAAGTTCCGTTTACCTTGCATATATGTACATACACGCGTATATAGCTCGATGATCGACTTTTTTTTTTTACATTGAATTTGTCGACACTATAGACTCGCTCCAAGTCGAAGTTAGACAGGTCTATAAATCATTCGGCAAACGGCGCGCGTCGTTAAAAGTGTAATGCGTGTTTATAAACCGAATAATATATTTACGTGTTTACAAACGATTAAAATCCGCCGACCGGCCGATCGGAAATTGTTACGAATGAATTGCGCGATGTGGTAAACACAGGGTTAGAGGCGTGTGCGCATTCGAAGCGCGATATGGTGTCGGATAGCGATTTTTTGCCTTTGTTGCGTTTTAATGCTTTCGTCGGTACGTTTACGCGCGTGTGCAAGTATTTACGTATGTTTCTGACGTCAAGAAGCGCAATTTTTCATTTTTTTCACTTTCGATCTTTGCGATCGTACGCGTGGGGGGTGTGTGAATGTGTACCGAGAGAACCTGTTTTGACAGCTGTGTATCACTCAGCGATCGGTATTGTACACGCGACGAATAGTACGAGTCTTGATGCACGACGAGTCCAGTTTCCTCTTGACACTTCTTTTTCTATATGAAATTATTGCTCTTCTGTATTTCATGTAAAATATAAGATTTTCCTTTTGAAATACACCGTGACCGATCGTCGTTACGATTATACATCTACGTTACCGGCTGCGGGCAATCTAGTTTTCACGAGTAGCTCCTTGATTCGAATCGCGGTTTTTTCAATTGTACAATTGCGAATAAAGAAATGTCAATGAATTAATAACAATACACTGAGAAAAAAAATTCTTTGATACAATGAAAATTTAATTAAATACAATCTATGAAATAATTTCATTGAAATAATCTTTTTTTCTTTAGTTTCATGAAATTCTGATTAAAGCAACTAAATATTTTGTTGTTTTTACCAAAATTTCATGAAACTAAAGAAAAAACGATTATTTCAATGAAATTATTTCATAGATTGTATTTAATTAAATTTTCATTGAATCAATGAATTTTTTTTCTCAGTGTAGATGTGTCTTATCTGATAAACAGGGTCTGAATGTAATAAAAAAATATTTACATAAAACTGTTCAATACTTTTTAAAGATTACGCGTGAATTTATGCAAATTGAGTTGATTTGAAGTTCTACCTAAAAAACGATTTTTCATTTAAAATATGATTTTATTTACATCCAGAAAAGATGTAAGCATGACATTTGGTTTTTTTTAAGATGTTTTGAAACATAAAAAAATTCAAGAAAATCTGAAAACAAATTATGGATTCGTTCCCGGCGTGTAAAAATTTGTCAAAATTTTCATGGGATTTTTTGAATTTTCCCATTAGTTTTACAGGACGAATGCAGCGCGCTGCGCGCATTTATGCGCGTGCGACCGGTCGACCATGTGCTGGAACTTCTGTCATTTGTGTGGTTGTTGCAGACGACACTGCGGCCACGTGAGAACATCAGTCTAGCGGAGATCAATTCTATTTTCATACGTTTCCGAGCTCGCAACGGTTTGCGATCGTTGTTGACATTTGAAGACAATTCAAAGCTGCGAAATGGTAAAATTTACAATAATTATACTTACTTCTTTAAGGTTAACTTGAAACGCGAGGAAAAATACAATTTGCTTTCCCGCGAGTATTTCATATTCTTTCTGCTTCAGAAACAATTTTTATTCATCATAGTTAAAATCCATTTGAACGTCACAATTTGGGATAAAGTTATAATTGAAGATTGTTTGAAATTTTGATTATTAAAAATCAAATTTTACATCCTGTTTTCTGAAACTTTTACTGAATAATTTTTCTTCAAAATACTCTTTTCAAAATAATCCAAGCAACTGTAAAGAATTTTAGAGAAATTTTAAAGAACGTTTTTTTATTTTGCTTTTTCAACACCGAGAAAAAAAATTCATTGATTCAATGAAATATTTAATTAAATACAATCTATGAAATAATTTCATTGAAATAATCTTTTTTTATTTCATCCAACAAAATATTTAATTGTTTTATCCAAAATTTCATTGCTTTAATCAATCATTTGATTAAATTAATAGTAAATAAAATATTAAATTAGATTTCATTGAATCAATAAATTTTTTTTCTCAGTGAAAAGCTTCAAGTTTGGTAGGATTTTGTAATTCTAAATACGTACTTATTTGTAGATCCGTTCTCAGCCCGACTGGAAACCCATTGCATTGGACCACGAGCGACCAGTCAAACGCCCCCGCACCGAGCCAAGTATACTCGCATCACTCGCAGTGGGCCTGAAAAACCAAACTCACGCTGTCGTCGTGACTCTGGATGAGGCCAATTCGGATTCGTTGCCCTACGGTGTGAAGAAAATTATACCCATCGCCACGCACATCGGCATGGCTACGTCCGGTGTCACCGCCGATGCCAGTACGATTAGGTATATAATAATAATAATAATATTCAGCTCTTTACTCTGCAGAAAATTGAATAATTGTTTAATAAATATATTGATCGAAAATATTCATTCGTTGACGATATATAGCCAAGACATGAGAAGAGAATGTTTGCATTATCAATTGAACCGACATAGTAAAATCCCCGTGACGACTCTCATCGAAAGTATCACGAGCAAAATGGATGCATGCGCTCGATGGGACACCAAGAGGCCGTACGGAATTGGATCGTTGGTAGCTGGTTACGACGTAAGTATAATTGTTTTTTTTTTCAAGTTTCAATCATATATGTATCAATTAAAAATGTCTCATTTCAGGATCAAGGACCTCACCTATTCGAAACGTGTCCGTCGGCGGGATGCTCCGATGGCAGAGCAATGGCTACGGGCGAGGAGTCTCGGGACGCCCGAACTTATCTGGAAAAACATCTCGACGAATTCGCGAGTTGCAAAGTGGAGGATCTAGTGAGACACGGTTTGAGATCGGCGCGCGACACTCTGCCCAGTGTGGTTCATTTATCTACCAAGGTACTGGTTAATTTTGCTTTGTATAATCGAAACTTCTTGAACTATACGTATAACGATTGAACACTTTTCTTTTAGAACATCTCTATCGGAATCGTCGGCAAAGATACGGATTTCAGAATCTTGGACGATGCAGAAACTCAACGTTACCTCGTCGAGGTGTAAACTGAGGATCACATAACAATAATTATTTTTAAGTACTTATCACATAATTAGACTAATTATACTTTGAAATAATCTTACTCGTAAAGACATTAAAAAATACGTTGCTTACAAAGTTATTCCCAATCTCGCAATCATTTTACCAAACCTACGACGTGTATTCAAAAAATCGTGTGTGCCTTATCGACAAACTGTTTTTTTATTTTATTTTTTTGACTGTCGCGCCGTACATAAGCACACCTCCCGCTCCCACCCTTGGATTTTTTTCGACAAAACTCTCTTGATTTTAAACGCGTGAACTCGGTCGACGCCGCTCACTTTCGCTCTCCTTCGTAAAATATATATCTCCCACCCCAGCCAGCAGCGCACTCTGCAAACAGCGACCGCCGCGCGCAGCAGCAGCAATACACACACACACACACACACACGCACACATACAGTTACGAACACTTTCACTGCGGCCGCGGCGGCGACTGAGAAAAACAGCTGTCGTTTTCGCTCTTGCGCTTTGTGCAATCATCGTCGCGATATCGGCTATCCGACACCATATTCCGCGCGACACAAAGTCTTTATTACAATTAATATAGTTGTGTGTTTTTGTGTCACTGTGTGCCCGCGCGCGAGTAAAGTGTGCAGTGTTTCGCGTAGGCAGAGTGAGTATTATTGCACAGTATACACGGCGCGGTGTCGTATCCCTTTGTTTATCCGTGCGACTGTATAGTAGCATGACGTTTCGAATGCAGGATCAGCAAAGACTACGACGACGCCGATAATTTGCCCAGGATCTTGCTCGAATCCGAGGTTGGTTATACAAAAAAAGAGCCACATTCAATCTCGGTCAATCTGCGTTTATTTTATTGTAACGCATACTTCCTGAATTCGTTTCTTATCTCCCTGTCTCCTTCTTTTTTTCATTCCCACTCTCTCTGTCTCTCTCTCTCTTTCCCTCTCTATCTTTGCAATATACGGCATACCGCTTGATACTATGTTCTTTCATTTATTTGATACAGATACGGACGGATCAATCGTTCGGCTACTAGTCGGACAATTATGATGCACGATAAAGCGAGGCACGTGAGTCACAATCATCAACGATACACTAGTTGGAATAGGCCAGCAACAGCAGCCGAGCAATCCGACAACGAGCTGGCAGTATTATTATGATCGCCCGCAGTGCTGAGCCATTTGTTGTTGCTTTTTCCTTTTTTTTTTCGTCGCTGCGTTATTACTTGTTTTTTGTCAACAATATCCGCCGGCCAACGGAGATCTAGTTTAGTATAATAAGCTGCTGCACGAGTGAGCAAGTGTGTTTACGAGAGCTCAGCAGCTGCACAATGGAGGCTGATAAGAGCGACTGGAAATTGCTGTTCGATGAAACTGCAGCCGCAGTGGCCATCGAGATCGAGCAGAAGCAGAATGACAGTCCCATGAAGGAGTTGAAGAGCAGTGGCGATGGTGCACTCAGTACTTGTGTCATCGCCATCGATGGGATGACATGCATGTCTTGCGTCAATACCATCACCGACATGATGTCAGGCAAGAATGGTATTCATCACATTGATGTTAGTTTAAAAGAAAATCAAGGTATTTTCAAGTATGACGATAAGCTCATTAGTGCCCAAGAAATTGCCGAAGCCATCGAGGATATGGGTTTTGATACGTCTGTCAAGAAAGTTAATGACGCTGTATTGGTAGATACTAATCAACTTGTTAGTACTGATCAAAATACTCCTGTAAATAATGTAAAAAAGTCACTGCCTAAAACAGAAAATATAGAAAGATGTTTTCTGCATATTGATGGTATTACAAATGCTTCTTGTGTCACTGCTATTGAAAAACATTGTAAAAAACTGGTTGGAGTGAAAAAAATCATGGTATCTTCGATAAGTAGCAAAGCAGAAATAGATTATGATAGCAATGAGATTCGGCCAGTTGACATTGCATCTAGTGTGACAGATTTGGGCTTTCAATCTATACTGATTAATGAAAAAGGCTCTCAGATTAAAGAAATAGAGTTACTTATTACGGGAATGACTTGTTCTTCTTGTGTTAGCAAGATTGAAAAGACTGTCAAACAATTGAAGGGAGTTCAATCAGCCATGGTATCACTTGTCACTCAAAGAGGTAGAATAAATTATGATCCAAGTAAAATAGATACTACAGAAATTATCAAGTGCATTGAAAAGATGGGCTTTGGTGTATCTTCAAAGAGAAACGATGCCGAGAACAGGCAGTATTTGGACCACAGACTGCAAATCAGAAAATGGAGAACAGCATTCCTCATTTCTTTGGTTTTTGGCGCGCCAAGCATGATAGCAATGGCATATTTTATGATCAATATGTCTTCCATGTCTCCAGAAGACATGTGCTGCGTTCTACCAGGTTTGTCCATGGAAAATTTGATATCTTTTATATTATCAACTCCTGTACAGATTTTTGGTGGCTGGCATTTCCACGTCCAAGCGTACAAAGCAATCAAGCACGGGACTTCCAACATGGACGTACTGATTTCAATGACTGCAACGCTATCGTACATATACTCGGTCCTAGTACTTCTGGCAGCAATGATCATGGAAGAGACCACCAGTCCAAAGACATTTTTCGACACGCCGCCGATGCTCCTGATTTTCGTCAGCTTAGGCAGATGGCTGGAGCACATTGCCAAGGGTAAGACCTCGGAGGCTCTCTCCAAGCTTCTGTCTCTGCAAGCAGCCGACGCAGTGATAGTAACCCTGGGACCGGATCAAGAGATCCTGACCGAGCGCTTGGTCAAGATAGACCTGGTGCAGCCGGGCGACATTCTCAAAGTCAACCAGGGCAGCAAGATCCCCGTGGACGGCCAAGTATTCATCGGCAGCTCGTCGTGCGACGAGAGCCTGATCACCGGTGAGAGCATGCCCGTGCCCAAGAAGGAGGGCTCGACCGTCATCGGCGGCTCGATCAATCTGAGCGGGCCGCTGTACGTCAAGGCCACGCACACCGGCGAGAAGACGACCCTGGCGCAGATAGTGCGTCTGGTCGAGGAGGCGCAGATGAGCAAGGCGCCGATCCAGCACATCGCCGACAAGATCGCCGGCTTCTTCGTGCCGTTCGTGATCTCGGTGTCGGTGCTGACCCTCGTCGCCTGGATCATCGTCGGCTACGTGGACATCAAGTACCTGGACCTGATGTCGGACCCGATGACGATGGCCGGTGGCAATAGCAGCCACAATCATACGACAAGCGGCGGTGGTCGGAATCGCGACGAGATCATCTTCCAGAACGCGTTCAGGTGCGCGCTGTCGGTGCTGGCGATCGCGTGCCCGTGCGCCCTGGGCCTGGCCACGCCCATCGCCGTGATGGTCGGCACCGGGGTCGGCGCCGTCAACGGCATCCTCATCAAGAGCTCGGACTCGCTCGAGAACGCGCACAAGATCAACAGCGTCGTGTTCGACAAGACCGGCACCATCACCAAGGGCGTGCCGAGCGTGACCAACATCGCCCTGTTCACCGGTAGCAACAGCAGCAGCAGCAGCAGTCCGTTCAACATCGGCCGTATACTCGTGATAATCGGCATAGCCGAGCTCAACAGCGAGCACCCGATCGCGACGGCGATCGTCGGCTACGTGCGCGAGGCCATCGAGACCGAGCTGAGCGGCCGCTGCACGAGCTACCAGTCGGTGCCGGGCTGCGGCATGAAGTGTCGCGTGTCGCACATCGCCGACACGCTGCGCAGCTGCGCCAAGTCCCTGAAGATCAGCAGCTTCGTCGACAGCTTGCAGCAGCAGCAGCAGCAGCAGGACAAGACGAGCGAGCGCGCCGCCAAGGAGCTCAACGACGTGCTCATCGACTTCGCCCAGATCAGCCCGGAGCAGCGGATGAACGCGAGGAACGCCGCCGCCGCCGGCGAGGCCGAGTTGACCGGCAGCGACGCCGAGTTCGAGTGCGTCATCGGCAATCGCGAGTGGATGCGGCGCAACGGCGTGGCGATACCGCGCGACGTCGAGGACACCATGGAGAGGGAGGAGAGCGTCGGACGCACCGTCGTGCTGGCCGTGATAGACGGCCAGCTCGCCGCCCTGGTCAGCGTCAGCGACTCGATCAAGCCCGAGGCCCGACTGGCCGTGTACACCCTGAAGCGGATGGGCTTCGACGTGACCCTGCTCACGGGCGACAACAAGCTCACGGCCAACGCCATCGCCAAGGAGGTCGGCATCGAGCAGGTCTTCGCCGAGGTGCTGCCCAATCACAAGGTCGAGCGCATACAGCAGCTGCAGAAGCAGGGCAAGAAGGTGGCCATGGTCGGCGACGGGGTCAACGACAGTCCCGCCCTGGCCCAGTCCAACGTCGGCATCGCCATCGCCGCGGGCACCGACGTCGCCATCGAGGCCGCGGACATCGTCCTGATGCGCAACGATCTGCTGGACGTTATCGGCTGCATCGACCTGTCGCGCGAGACCGTCAAGCGCATCCGCCTCAACTTCCTGTACGCGAGCCTGTACAATCTGCTGGGGCTGCCCATAGCCGCGGGCATCTTCAGTCCGTTCGGCGTGCGACTGGAGCCCTGGATGGCCACCGCGGCGATGGCCCTCAGCAGCGTGTCCATCGTCGGCAGCTCGCTGCTCCTGAAGATGTACAAGAAGCCCACGAGGCAGAAGCTCGAGACGGCCGAGTTCAAGAAGCTCGCGCGCTACGACAACAGGACCAGTGGCGCGGTCCTGTTCACGGACGATCCGCCGCCCCAGCCGGCGGCCAAGACCGGGTCGATCAACGGCTCGACCCTCAGTCTGTCGCGATTGAAGTACAATAACTTGGTTTAGGATAGCTCCGTGGCTTCGCCAGAGTGATAATATATACGTTATAATCGTAAGAAGATGAATTGAGATATTTTTTTCAACGAGTACATAATATTTTTTAAAAGAAAAAGCATAGTAGTATATATTTATTTATTTGTACGAGGAGAATTAGATAAAATAACAATGACTGAGATACTGTAAATGACTGTTGACAAGGACCTGTTTAGCGTCTAAGAGAGGAATTTTAAACGTTTATTTACTTATTTATTTATTTATTTATCTGTAAAAACTTGGATATTTCCATAAGGTATATATTCATATATTCAATGTTCGTTCAATCGTTTAGTTACCAATAATGTACACTCAGCATTACGTCTGACATCTGATTTGATTGATAACTGTTTAATGTCACGATGAAACATCAAAATAACGATGATTTTTCTTATTTACAGCTGACAAAGCATTACTTTTTTTCTTTTTTTTAACTCTTGATTAATTTGTATGTGAACTTATTGCGTATGAGTGTGTTTTGTTAGTTTTCTATACATGTATGGCATAATGAAAAAGATAATATATATTGTATAAAAGAAAAAAATGTACTGATGACAAATATTTTCTTACCGCTGAATCCGCAAATTATTTAAGCTTTATATACGTAATGAAAAATGTGTGATTGTTAACTCATAATTGATTCGTGTACAACTCAAGTGAGATATAAGAAATTAATAAAATACAAAATGACTGTTTACACGACTTTTGAATCTTCATTTTATCTCTAACTAATTATTTTAATCTTAAAATACCTTTCAAAAAAGCAAACTCGTTGATATGAGAATTTCAAAAAAAGCAGACTCGCGCGCCAAGCGAGCACACATGCGCCGAGAAATGACGTCTGCTTTACCGTTTACGTCAAATCGATGAACCTCGCAGCAGTCGGCATGCTACACGCGGTTCTAGTACAGAGTCGACAGCAAGCACGTTGATTTTTGAAAATAAATATTCTCAGTGACTGGTTTAAAACAAAAATATTGTTCAGTGAAAGCACACGATGGAATTCTTCATCGATACAGTCGGTCAGACCGAGAACAATGATAAAGTGCAGGCAGTTGATCCAGACGACGACTTTTATCCAGGAGATATCGGTGAGTTGCGTTCCGTTGAGGTTATGTTTTTAAATACTTTACATTGAGACATTCAGTAATGCATAACTGTTATGATTCTTTTTAGATTTCAACCCTTCAGCTGTTAAGAAAGCTATATCTGAAATAGGAAAGGATAATCTCACTGCTGTGTCTGAAAAGAAGAAGAAGAATGAAAAGAAGGCCATAGATATTGATCAATTTGAGGAGGCTATGGGCTGGAAACAGAAAAAGAGAACTAAAATATTAGGTGACATCGACGAACAAATGGAAGTACAAATTGTCAAACAGGCTTTGAAAAATTCAAATGTCAAACCTGGATTCGAAGGATTAAAAAAAGTACCAAATTATGACGTCAGTGAGAAAAAACAAAAAGAAAGAAGGAAAAGAATAGCCGCCAAAACCAAGGGTGTTGGATGGTTCAATCTTCCTGCTACAGAACTGACAGAAGAAGTCAAGCATGATCTTGAGGTCATTCAAATGAGATCTGCATTGGATCCCAAACATTTCTACAAGAGAAATGACTCCAAAGCGCTTCCCAAATACTTCCACATTGGTAAAGTTGTTGACTCGGCTGTTGACTTCTATTCTGGTAGATTGACAAATAAGGAACGCAAGCGTACCATTGTCGATGAACTGATGGCTAATGCTGAATTCGCCAAATACAATAAGAGGAAGTACCAAGAAATCATTGAGGAGAAGCGCAAAACACATTACAAAGCCGCAAGGCACGCCAAGAGACAGATGCGAAAGAAGAATAAATAAATTACGTCAATTGTTTTAGGATAAGTGTAGAATAAGGTCAGAGTAAGGTACTAAATTTGTTAATAAATGCAATTTTTTTAATAACATAAACCAAAAACCAGTGCTGTTTCTTAAACCAAACCCCCTGTGACTTCGATGGATGCACCATTGATGTAAGAACTTTTGTTCGATGCTAAAAATAGAATAACTTCTGCAACCTCCTCCGCTTTGCCCATTCGTTTTAAAGGAATTCTTTTGATGAACATTTGTTTGACTTTATCGGGCACCTTGTCTGTCATTGGAGTCTCTATGAAACCTGGCAGTACAGCGTTGACTCTTATTCCAAACCTGTAATCAAAATATTAAGACTCGACTGTAGCAACTGGATGTATACACAGCAAAATGTATATTATGGTAGTATACTACTCACTGTCCAAACTCTGCAGCCGCCGACTTGGTGAACGCCTCGACTCCCGCCTTGGAAGCCGCGTAATTGCTCTGCCCGATGTTTCCCGTCTTGCCGATGATCGAGGCGATATTAACGATACTGCCGCCGCCACCCTGTGTATCCTCGGTCTCGGCTGCCTGGATCATGGCCTGGGCGGCGCACTTGGTCACGAGGAAGGTGCCGCGCAGATTGACCCCGAGCACCTCGTCGAACTCGGCCTCGCTCATCTTCAGGAGGAAGTTGTCGCGCGTCACCCCGGCCGAATTGACGACCAGGCTGGGCGTCGCGCCGTAATGCTCGCGGCCGCGAGCCAGGGCTAGCTCGACGCTCGCCCGGGAGCGCACGTCCAGCTCCACCGGGAGCAGGTATTGACCCGCATCTGGGGAGGGTGCGTGAATGAATCATTTCGTTTTGAAAGTACCGCGCGCGTGCGGATAAGCTGTGATACAATAGTTGGATGCGTCTGCTTGGGAAAAATTATAATTATGAAGCAGAATATTGAAAAAAAAAAAAAGATCTGATGGAAAAAATGATAATATTTTGATGGTTATATAAACTTGATCAAAAAAATCTTATTGATATTCTTCAGAAAGTTATCGAAATTGCGAATCTTCTAGCCTATTGAACTATCAATGCCACTGAACTTGAAACTCATTTACAATTGATAAACTACATTGTATTACACCGCACATGGTAAATTTATAATTTATTTTAAGTACTTGAAAATCATTTTAATAAATTGACTGGATAAGTTTTATAAGCATTATTTCCAAGACTTGTGCATTTTCATTAATATACCTCGGTTATATTTTTCCTTTTGAGCACTGCAAAGCATTAAGAACCTATTTTTTATCTAAAAGTTACGATCAAAACATTTACATGAAAATTATTAAGAATCATTGCAATGAGGACATGAACTGGATAGATTATTTATACAGAACATAGCTTGGTTTTTAACCCCGTCGCAACTATTAATTGAACCACAAAACAGAAGGGGTAACGCCACTCTAGGACTTTTAAAAAAATCGATTTTCTTTATTTATGCGTACAAAAGCTTCCTTTAAGCGTGTAAACTAATGCACAATTAATTTTATAGGGTAATATATAATTTTAAGATGCCCAATCGTTAATTTTTCTACAGCGTTTTGCACGAAAGCCAAATGGGTATGAAAAACTTTGAACGCCTTTTTCTTCGAACCAACATTTTTCGACACTGCCGTTGTAATATCTCGCGAAATAATGAACCGATCGAGCTGAAATTTTGACCGCAGCTCCCAATTGTATTTTTAATCGAATTGCGTAACCATTTTTCTATTGGTTTGTTATTTCAATTTTTATAATTAATTTGTGGCGAACTGTTTCGACAAAACTCGATTTTTTATTATTGGATAGCTGCCATTAAAAGTGGATATGTTTATTTCTGTTCTAGGTGTCTTAGAAGTCAAAACATTCTACCGTCAGCGAAAAATCGCTTTTTTTGTATATTGACCGAATGAATGGTTTTGAAAGTATCTCAAGACATGTATTATCAGTCCTCAAAATTCCAAATTGATCGATCCATCCTGGCCACCGCAATAAATTCCCGAAATGTGCTATTTTGAAAAAAATCCTAGAGCTTGTGTTACCCATTAATAATTCTACACAGACGCAGCTATGAATATCCTTATCCCATCGAAATTCAACTCGCGGTAGTCGTACAGAAGTAAATTTATTCCGCAGTATGACGTACCAAGCACAGCTCACAGCGTCGTCTGCTAACAACTCCTACTGGCTGTCATCCAATTCCCCAAAACACATAACCTGCCTATATGCAGCTGCAACAAGTGCCTCGGCTTATCCGCGTGTTGTTGCGAGTATATAAACAACGGAACGCCGAGCTTCTCGAGTCTCTTTCTTTCGCTCGCGTCTATTCCACCCCCGAGCCAATAATAGACACTCGCGTATCCAACCATCATCAGATGCATTATCATCATTTATGCGCGTAGTGGTGCTTTGTAAAGCGAAAAGCTCCGCAGGCTGCGCGGATACCTACATACATACATACGTATATATATATTATAATTCTACCTTGTATCGTGGCAAGGGTACTCTCGACGGCCTTGACATTCAGATCGGCTGCGATGACCTTGGCGCCTTGGCTGGCCAGCGCGGCGCAGGCTGCTCTGCCGATGCCGCTCGCCGCCCCTGTGTTTGTGTGTTGTTTATTCAGCGCACGTGTGTATATAATAATGGCACATCGAAACGAGCAAAGCGAAAATAATCAACGTTTTAAAAATTTAAAAGGCCGTATATAAGAGTACGCGTGGAGGCGATTTTACGTTTAAAAAGCCGCATATATAGATCGACGCACGCACGCACATCATTATATATTTCTATATAATTGAGTACGCGCGCGCGTGTGTGTGCACACTCGACGCGCGAGGCAGATCCTCAGCATTACGTCACGATCCGGAGAGATGTTTTAAAGTTCTGATGATAATAATAGCGAATATAACGCGCGTGTATTTATTATTATTATCATTTATGCGTGCATAAAGTCCACGAGCCCTATATGATGTATGCGTATATATACTTACCCGTGACGAACGCGACTCTTCCAGTTAGCATCGTCGCCGTCGTCAGCTGTGCTGCTGCTGCTGCTGCCGCAGTACACGCAGATTTATAACGTACGGATATACACGAGGTATATCACTGTGCGCACTCGAAGCCTACGCGTGTATGTGTGTGTGTGTATATACGCAACGACTGACGAGTGCGTATACGTTTTGTATTACGCAGATGCAGCCGAGAAAGAGAGCCTCGAGGCGTTTTTATCGTATAGGATATACCGGCGAGTATAGAGTGAGTTTGCAAGAATTTAATTTTTGCTGCAATAATAAACGACGCGTAGGTGCTACTGTACAGTGCGTACGTTAAATACTCGTGCAGCAAATCGCGCTGCTATATCAATGTGTGTGTGTGTGTGTAATTGTATAACGGTATGTATTTACACGGGATGCCTCGATGTACACATCGACTACAGTTTATTTTCAATTTACGGGAAATTTTTTCATCGGCCGTAATCCGATAACGATGAAATTTTCATTTTATCGATTAATCGACGAGAGGAGCGAGGCACGTGTAAAAACTCATCGTCGCACGCGTCGATCGTGGTATGTACGACGTTCTCTCGTTACACGGAGCTCTTGATTGTAGATCTATCGGCGCGCGTGGCAATTCCAATATACAGGTATATAATACGAAGCCCTTGCGCTACGACGATCATTTGAATCGGCGTACTATTTTTTTTACAATTTCCAATATTCGAAAAGTCAAATTACTTCATTGTAAATCGCATCGTGACCGTTTTTGTCAAGAAGATATATCGATAACATCTCCGAGGCCCGATTCGACCCGAGAATTCTTTTTGAATGCAGTGCGGTGCATTAGCTGTTGTGGAAAGTTGACCGACGAATATGTGTTTTGTTAATTCGGCAGCGGGGTCGGGTTCATTGGCTGCACGGATCGCGGGATCGGCGCCCTGTGCAACTTCAGCCTCCACATTATCGTTGTCGTCGTTGAGCATTGTTACACGCACAATTGCACACGATCAAAAGTCGCTCACAATTTGAAATTCTCGATACTGTCTTTCTGAGATTAGTCTGCGACGTCGAAACGAGTACTGAATCGTACTACTTAAAGGCGCGAAATCGCCGATCGAGAACCGATACTCGAGCCCAGCGCCCGATGAATATTGTAAACAAATGTCTAGATATCGCACAAGACAAAACTCGAGATGTTTCGAACGCAAAACAACAATTTAATTAGTCGAAACTCCGATGTTACGTCGTGTCTTTTCTTTTTATGGCAACATTTAAATCCTCTATTAGCTCTTAACCAGCACGATTGGCTTTTTTTGCGAGCCGCAATTGTTGCCTGAAACTGCGGACTTTCTGAGCACGTGACAAGTAGCTGATTAGAAAAATATTAATATAAGATTTTGGATTGATAATGATACCAGGAAAAGGATGAAACAATCGTGAGAGCTTTTGCTGATTTTAAATGAATGTAGAGAACATTTTTTGGTTCAAATTAAATTATTCACTTCGTTTTGTTCGGTACGAATTTATTTTTATTACCGATCACGTCTCTCTCTGTAGAAATAATCAGTCTGTCAGCAAATTTATAAAATTCGTTCGCACTAGCGCGTTTTTTATCAATTCAGTATTGTCTATCATTACTTGAGGTTTATCAAAAATTCAGAAACCAACTAAATGCTCGTCACATGCACAGATCCAAACAAGACATGAAAAAAACCATATGGGCTGATCCATGCATGAATAAATGGAGAAACTAACTGGCTAAAAAATAAACACAGAGTAGTAATTAGTAACACGCGACATTTGGTACAAAAATAAAACACCACATCGACAGTGTACAAAAGTGTTAGCATAGTTAATCGCTCGAGATTCTAGTAAAACATAATCATTTTGGCTCAATGTTAATTAAAATTAAAAAAAAATTTGTACAAGAGTCTATTTACAATTGTCAATCATTATTTCTTCTCGCATGCGTAATCATTACGACCCTCATGAACGGTCTTTTGATGCCAAAGCAAATGAGGTTTAGTTCCGAATTTCTTCTCGCATTTATCACATACGAAATCTTTACGACCTTCGTGGATTGTCTTTTGGTGGATAAGCAAAGTCTGTTTGTATCCAAATTTCTTCTGGCACCTGTCACATGCGTAGTCTTTGCGACCCTCGTGTACAGTCTTCTGGTGTTTATTCAATTTCGATTTTTCTACAAATTTCGTCTCACACTTGTCACACGCGAAATCTCTGTGACCTTCATGGACTGTTCTTTGGTGCATAAGCAAATGATGTTTAAGTCCGAATTGTTTCTCACACCTGCCACATGCGAAATCTTTACGACCTTCATGAATCGTCCTTTGGTGCAAAAGTAAGCTACTTTTTTGTCCAAATTTCTTATCGCACTTGTCGCATGCGTAATCTTTCCGATTTTCATGTACTATCTTTTGGTGAAAGACCAAATGCGAGTTTTGTCCAAATTTCTGCTCGTATTTGTCACGTGCATAATATTTGTGACCCTCGTGAACTGTCCTTTGATGCAAGAGCAAATTATATTTTCGTCCAAATCTCTTCTCGCATTGGTCGCATGCGTAATCTTTACGATATTCATGGGTAATCTTTTGGTGCGAATGCAAATGATGTTTAAATCCGAATTTCTTCTCGCACCTATCACATGCATAATTTTTGCGACCCTCATGAATTGTCTTTTGGTGGACGAGTAAATTACTTTTAAAACCGAATTTTTTTTCGCACTTATCACACGCGTAATTTTTGCGACCTTCGTGTACTGTCCTTTGGTGGTTTAACAAATTGATTTTACTTCCCAATTTCTTTTTGCATTTGTCGCATGTGTAACGGTTGTGGTCTTCGTGGAGTATGTTTTGGTGGACGAGCAAATTCTGTTTACGTTTGAATTTTTTTTCGCATTTGTCGCATGGGTAGTCTTTGCGACCCTCGTGTACTATCCTTCGGTGATTTAACACATCCGATTTTCGTTTAAATTTCCGCTCACATTTTTCACATGCGTAATCTTTACGACCTTCGTGGACTGTTTTTTGGTGCTGAATCATAATCCATTTTTGTCCAAATTTCTTCTCGCACTTGTCACATGCAAAATCTTTGCGACCTTCGTGGACTGTTTTTTGGTGGCGGAGTAAATTCGATACGTGTCCAAATGTCTTATCACATCTGTCGCATGCGAAATCTTTGCGACCCTCGTGGACTGTCTTTAGGTGTATGAGCAAACTCTTTTTAAATCCAAATATTTTCCCGCAATTGTCACATAAGTAATCTTTACGAACTTTGTGGACTGTCTTCAGGTGGGAGATTATATCAACTTTTTTTCCGAATTTCTCTTCGCCCTTGTCGCACGCGTAATTTTTACGATCTTCGTGGACTGTCTTCAGGTGGAAGATTAATTGCGTTATTTTTCTGAATTTCTCTTCACATTTGTCGCAAGCAAAACCTTTCTGACCCTCGTGAACTGTCTTTATGTGTAGGAGCAAACTCTGCTTATTTCCAAATCTCTTTGCGCACTGCTCGCATAAGTAATCTTTGAAAACTTCGTGGAATATTTTTTTATGTCTAATCAAAGTTGACTTATTTTCGAATTTCCTCTCACACTTTTTGCACGTGAAATCATAGCGATCTTTGTGAAGTAATTTCTGATGGGTAAACAAACTCGATTTTTTCACAAATTTTCTCCCACACTGGTCACATGAAAAACCTCTGCTGCCTCTGTGTTCTAGTATTTGATGTCTACTCAAATGACTTCTAAACTCGAATTTCATGTCGCACTTGTCGCATGCATAATCTTTTTGTTGATTGTGAATTGTGTCTCGGTGTGTTATCATACTTGATTCTAGTGTAAATGCCTCCTGACAAATATCACAAACATATTTTTTATCGCCTGGAACAACAATGTCATGTTCATTCAAATTATCTTCAGTAACAACTCGCTCGAATTTCTTCTCACTTTTATCCATTTTGGTACCTCAATTAAACGTCGATCTTTCTATTTAGTTCCACAAAAATTAAATGAGTAAAATTGATTGTTTGGTATTTGCTTCACGGGGAAAGATAACATTCAAACTAATTTGTTTTTACTATAAACAAGATGATAGAAATGTTTCGTTTATAATCGTATTGTTTACAATTGAGGTACCAATTCATCTGTTTATTCAGTACTTTTACAATATATCGAACAATTAACAATTTTAACTTGGCGATAATTGCTTCGAGGAAATTTTGGATCTTCTATAACTAAGTTCTTTAATAACTAACTCCCGACACAATTTGAGACAGTACATAATCGATATAAATCAATTTGACGCCTTGAAAATGCTGTGAAAGAACATAAGAAATAAAGAAGTTTCATTCTAAAATCTGACCATGAAACATACAAAGAAAAATTCATGCAGTACGAGAGTAGCCTAAATTAGTTAAAACTCGCATTAGGCTGATTTCATCTTATTTTTGTGCTGAAATTCGGAACTTTGTGTGATCGGTAAGGGCTCAAGGGGCCTGCTGTAATTTACTGGCCTTATATTTAAAGAGTTTAAAGTACCAATTTCCGATATAAAGCTCAGACTGTATAATTTTTATTCAAATTTGAGCACTCGTAAATAAATCGATGCCATACGCGAATGTTCCTAAAAATTCAGAAACTCTTCAAGAAAAAAAAGTGTAAACAAGCATTCACGGGGAACGCATATTCTTCTATGAAAAAATCGTTAAGAAAAAAAAACCCCACAATCTCATCGTTGATCCCAAATCTGAAATAATTCAGGAACGTTTCTCGCGATCGAAAGAAAATTGCAATCTTAATCGATAGCTGCAGAGCTGCCTCTATATATTAATAAAAAATTATATATCGGCAGCTTTACACAATACAGCAACGTAGCCACCGTAGTACATAATAAAGAAAAAAACGTCTGTAATAACGACGATACGCTCGGTAGTATAGTAGATAGGCAGTTAATACACGTCGACGGCTCAAAGAACCTTGAAAGGGGCAGCATAGCGCATACAAATAATATAAATATAGATTCGCGCGCGCGAATCCTTTTGCTAGTTATCGAAAAATAGCATTGAAGCTGTCTCGCTGCGCCGCTGGCTCCGGGCTTGCTCTCGGGATCAGCTCGAATCTATATTATGTCGTCGTCGTCGTTATGACGAAGGGAAGATGCAGCAACGGTATATATACAAGAATTTTTTTCTCTCTCTCTCGCTCTCCGTGTCCGTGACACTGACTGACGTCATTTACATGCTGCTGCTGCTGCTGCAGCTCGCGCTCGCGCCGCGATGACGCAATTGATACCGGCAATGTACATTCGCTCGGGGAGAGTATGTGTGTGTGTGCGACGTTGATGATGATGATGGAGCTCCGTTCCGCGAACCGGCCGGGGTGCGTTTGTAGCCCTGGCCTTGCACCCCTCGCCCCTCCCCCCACCTCCTCCTCCTCCTACCCTCGCACGTACTACTACTAATACGCAGAGGCGCCCAGAGCTGCGGCAGAGCCGTATAGACTATATATATTTTATTACCGTGTGTTGTATATTATAGCGCGGCCGAGAGACCAGAGACCCTGACTGCAACGATCCACACGACTCTCCTGTATATATACGTACACATACCCTCCTCCACCCACCGAACGATATTCTCTCGTGTGCGCTGTTGATATACGTATCCACGTGTGCTACACACGTTTTTTTTTCCTTTATTTTTTTAAAACAATGTGTATAATATAATTATATATAATGTATATAAAGTTGCCGCAACTCGTCTTTCTCTACCTGTGCACGTGTGTAGCCGAATCATTATTATCATCCATCGTATCGTATAGATAAACACGTGTATTAATTTGATTCTTTTTACAATAAAAGCTCCGCGCGCGTGTGAATCTCTTTTTTCCCATTACCATTCGATCCGCGCGATATATAGTATTATTAAATGCGTCGCTATGCGTTTCAAACACGCGCGCGGGTGAAATTCGAGCGCAGAGAGAGAGAGAAAGTCATCTCGTGTGTCGAGTCGAGAAGACGATGTACGTACACGTGCGGCTCCGTATTACATTTGCAGTATACCTGCTGTATATTATACACGTACAGATCGAGTGCGGCATTAGATGTATCTGTATAATATACAGTGTATATATAGGTAGGTAGCTGGGCGCCTGCGAGTACGGTGACCTTGTGTGCAGCACGTTGCGATGCTGCCGCTGGGCAGTTACAAATAGTGATCTGCGAGAGTTGGAATTGTTTTTTTATCTTTTTGCTATTAATTAGAATTAGCGAGCGATTGCTTTTCGGTTGATATTTATATGGGGGGGGGGGGGGNGGGGGGGGGGGGGGTAAAAACTACTAGTAGCTTGTCGCTTGAGAAAAATTCTTACTTTGCTCCGATAACGATTTTTTAAGAAAATGTTTGTATTGTATCGATATTTTATTTTAATTGCAATTTTTCTTGAGTAATGATCGGTGACTAGGAGGACACTATAAACGGTTTACACTACAATCGTATGAGAATATTTTTTTTCGAATCAACTTCGATGGTGTCCCAAGGGTCAAAAATCAAGCACGAAAATTATGGCTTATCGTTCGCTTAGCCATCTCCATCGCCTTCTGTTTTCATATATAAAAATACATAACACCATCGCACGTATAGCCAAATCCGCGACTTTCTCATCGAATTCCTAATACGCGTGTAACAGTACACTCGAAGAGAGAGAGAGAAAAAAACTAGATCTAAATTCCGATAAATCGTAATTCGTCGACTGGTAATAGTGTCGCGCCGGGGGGCTGTTGTCATATGGATGACGCGCGCGGGCGCGATCAATTTTCGCGCGCACACGTGTTAAGAGGTAAATTGCAATTTAATCGAAAAAAGGCTGATATAAGAGCGGGCAGAGAGATTGTCGGCGGGGAAAAAATATCCCGCGATAGATAAATGCACACCTGCTCGCGATTTTGTTCCGTCATTAGCTATCTAGTTATCACACGGCACACAAAGTAATAAGTGTGCACACTGTTATACTCCAATCTGTATTATGAATTTACAGTGTCCGCGAAGACGACAACTCCGCGTGTACACGAAAACTTCTCGTTTTTTTTTTTATTAATTAAGTATATGCGCGTCCCTAACCTCGCAAAAATTATACACGAAAATCATTCGCGAAAAATGTTCGACTTGATAACGGTGCGGTGACGCGCACACGTTCCCCATTATTATGTATAGTTAACCGACTTTCAATTTTCTCACTAGGCAAATATGCAATAAAATGATGATATCGCGATCGAAGCTATGCGTATATTTTTTCCGTAGCTGCGCGCCTGCGACACCAGTGTCACACGTTAGCAGCGGTGCAGCCACAGCAGCCTGCGCGTATATTTCGCTCTCGACCTTGCTCTTGGCTTGCGCTCCGATATATATACGCGTGTGTATACGTACGTATCTGTGTCTGTGTGAGAATACCTATATATAGTAACGTCACAAAAGTGCAGCTACTATATACGCACGGCGTTTCGTTGCCTCGCGCGCGTACTACAACTACTACTACTACTACTACTACTACCTACGAGCGAGCGAGAGAGAGAGACAGAGACAGAGAGCTTATATACTCGGCGACTGCAGTCGCCGCGGCACAGTCGTCGCTCGACGATCGGATCTCGCGGATATACTTACATATATACAGTGCGTTGTGTGTCGCGTATACACAACCTCGATTATAACTGCGGCTGCATACGTCGCTGCATGACTATGTATCCTATATGTAGTCGTAGAAAATAGATACATAATATCGTTTACCAAGTGTGGTATTATACACGCGGCGCACTTTTGACGTATAATACATATACCGAATTATCGTGTGTTTGTGTGTATACAAGTTGTTAAGGCCGTTATGCGCGTAAGTATATTCGACGATGCAACGCCGGAAATAAAATAGACGAAAAAAAAAACAGAAAAAAAAAGTGTGCGATGTGCTCTCAGCCGACTACTACCTATACATAAAATATATACCTATCGCTACTTTTTATTGCTATATACTTCTCGTCAACTGCTGTGTATATATACACACTGTACCGCTACTGCTGCTGCTGCTGTGCCGTGTGTGTTGGTGCCGTGCTGCGTCGAGACAACTCCGAATTTTTCGTGCTACGCTTTCGCGTGTGCATATATTTAATTATTAAACGTGTGTCTCTCGAGTAAGAGAAGAGATCTTCGTTCGATATTAAAAGTAAACCAAGTTCCGTTCAGTGAAGCATATAACGTTAACAGCTCCTATAGATGTAACAGTGTATACATATATGCGTGCGAGTTGTGTATAAACGAATTTGCGTACGTGTGCGCGTGTATATATATATATATATATATCGAGGCAGCCAGCAGCAGCCGCCTCTGTGACTGTGCCGTGTGTGCGTGCGTGTGTGTGTATAACACATCCGGAGGGAAGAACGCGAAATGCCGACCGCCTCAAAGTTTCTCATTTTGCGACAATGGCCGTGATACGACAAGCCAGGTGAGCGAGAGAGAGAGTGTGAGTGAGTGAGTGAGAAACTCCTCTATATACATCGAGGCGAGCATATATAATATGAGAAGACAATTTCTTTGCCGCTATAAATGCGTGTATATATGTAGTCGCTGCGCCAATGTGGGCCTGTGTGTGTGTATGTGTGTGTGTGTATGTGTTATATGTGTGTGCGCGCGCGAGAGAGAAAGAGAGAGATAGACTCTTTTTTACCTGTACCTGCAGATTGTGGTATTACTTTACTCTGTGATTGTTTTTTTTTTTCTTTTTTGCTTTTGTTTTGTTTCGTTGTTTTTGCTTCGTTACGATCGAGATTGTCTCGCGGGCGCGCGTTCGAGCGAGGGTCCGCTGCACAGATGTCAAATATTTACAAATTGATACACGGAGCAAGTGCCAAGTGTCATTGGTTATGAGATGCGAATCGTTCTCTTTCTGTTGTGTTGTTTTTTTTCTTTCCTATACTCGCGCGCTCTCTCTCTCCATTGTAAACGCAACAACGTTTCCGTCGAATTGCTTATTTTTGGAGATGATATTTTGCGCACGCGGACTCGGACGGAATAATAAAGTTGGAGATTTTTTATCTGTGATGAGCTGGTGTGTGTGTGTCTGTGATTCAATGGAAATCCCAAATTTCTATAAATAGTAATGGCAAACTGTATATGTACCGTATAGTGCATCGCAATGAGCAAAACAAAAAATTGTCTCGCTGCCTTTCAAAGTCTTTCAATTACTTTTTGTCATTATAAGCACTCTTGCGTACAAAAATTATGTTGAAAGTAAATTAGAGAGTTATTTTGAAGTTATCGATGACAGTGGCAAAGATTTTAATTCAATTTTATTCTATCCAACAGAATTCCATCCTTGATAAAACCAAGCATAGAGGAGCTTCCATCGTGTGCCATTAAGCAAAGAACAGACTCAACTTCAGGAGGACAGCAAGCGAAGAAAAAAGCTTGTCGAGTCCTACCTTGCGCCATGAATTCCAGGGAAATGGATCAGACTGACCTCAGCGATTCTGAGGATTGCCAAAGTAGTACAGATCCGCTAAGGTAAATTATTCAATCTTGTTCCAAAAGTCTGTGTCTTCTTCATGTCTGTCTTATTGATTTATGATAAAATTTCTTTTATTAATTATCTTCATTTTCTTTCTTCTGTTTTTCATTAATTTTAGTCCTCTATTTAATCATAATACCATTTGCCCAATAAGATATGAGCTGCGCAACATTCAGAGTGTCATACACGTCACAAGACAGAACATCGATGCCCTGAACAGTCGATTTGCCACCTTTCAAGATCCACCGGCCATCTACTTGACGGAGTACCAGGAGCTAACGTCCAAGCTCCACGAGCTGGAAGCCAAGGAGCAGCTGCTGAATGATCTGCTGACCATAGCCGAGGCAGAGGCCAATGCTGCCAATACCGAGATCTCGACGTCGGACTCGTTGTCGAGTATGAGCAGCAGCGGGCCTAGGCAACAGTCCACTGGCCAGCCGATCACTCAACAGCAGCAGCAGCAGCAACAGCAACAGCAACAGCCACAGCGCGGCAACAGTCCGAGGACGCCGCTCAAGTCGGTGCTGCGCTGCCAACTGCCGAACCAGCAGCGCACGAGCGTGCAGGTACGCGAGGGTCTGTCGCTCCGAGACGCACTAGCCAAGGCGATGAAGCTGCGCAACCTCACGACCGAGATGTGCGTCTGCTACATCTACATAACCAGCGAGGACAAGTACAAGATACCCTGGGACACGGTGATCACGTCGCTCGACTGCGACGAGATCTCGGTGGAGATACTCGACAAGTTCCCCATCGCCACCAGCATCTCGCACAACTTCGTGAGGAAGACGTTCTTCTCGCTTGCCTTCTGCGAGTGCTGCCACAAGCTGCTCTTTCAGGGCTTCTACTGTCGCACCTGCAACTATCGCTTCCATCAGCGCTGCGCCAACGGCGTGCCGGCCCTCTGCCATCAGGTGCGCATGCAGGACGCCTACTATCAGACGCTGCTGGCGCACAATCCCAACGCCGGCATTCTCCAGCTGCCCGTCTACAACGAGACCTATTCGAGTAAGCAGCAGCGACGTCCTTGTAAAATGATTCGAAATCCTCCACAGAATATTTTGTTGACATTTCAAATTTTTCCGCAGGTATCGCGCCGACATTGAGCAGCACGAGTTCGCGCGGACGACATCCGCGCACGTTGAACCAGCAGGACCGATCGAGCTCGGCGCCCAACGTCTGCTTCAATCTGGTGAAGCCTCTGGGCCCCGTGGGCACGGACGCCGCCACCGCCCACCTGCAGTCGGATTACACCCGATCGCAGAGCCTAACCAGGTCGGCGGCCAGCAACGGAGCCAGCACGCCCCTCAACAGTCTGAGCAGCGGTGGTACAGGGTCTGGCTCTCACCATCACCACCATCATCATCACAGCGGCGGCAGCGGCGCGGGAACGACGATGACGACAGGGTCGACGGTCGCGCAGTCGCCCCTGTCGCCGGCCAGCAGTCCGACCAAGCACAGCCAGTCGACCCAGGCGAGCCCGACGAACACGCTGCGACCGAAGCGGCCGCGGGCCCGCTCCGCGGACGAGAGCTCGAAGAATCTCCTGGGCCCGCGCGAGTCCATCGAGGACTGGGAGATACCCGCGGACGAGATCCTCGTGGGGCCGCGAATCGGCTCGGGCTCCTTCGGTACGGTCTACAAGGCGCACTGGCACGGCCCCGTGGCCGTGAAGACGCTCAACGTCAAGATACCCACCCAGGCGCAGCTGCAGGCCTTCAAGAACGAGGTGGCGGTGCTGCGCAAGACGCGCCACGTCAACATACTCCTGTTCATGGGCTGCGTGAGCAAGCCCCAACTGGCCATCGTGACGCAGTGGTGCGAGGGCTCGTCCCTCTATAAGCACTTGCACGTGTTCGAGTCCAAGTTCCAGCTGCTGACGCTCATCGAGATCGGCCGGCAGACGGCCCAGGGCATGGACTATCTGCACGCCAAGAACATCATTCATCGCGACCTCAAGAGCAACAACATCTTCCTGCACGACGATCTCACGGTGAAGATCGGCGACTTCGGCCTGGCCACGGCCAAGACGCGCTGGGCCGGCTCGCTGCAGTGCCATCAGCCGTCCGGCTCGATACTCTGGATGGCGCCCGAGGTCATCCGAATGCAGGACGAGAATCCCTACACCTTCCAGTCGGACGTGTACGCGTTCGGCGTCGTGCTGTACGAGCTGCTGGCCGGCCAGCTGCCCTACTCCAACATCAACAACAAGGACCAGATCCTGTTCATGGTCGGCCGCGGCTATCTGCGCCCGGACCTCAGCAAGCTGCGCTCGGAGACGCCCAAGGCGCTGCGCCGCCTCACCGAGGACTGCATCAAGTACGCCCGCGAGGAGCGGCCGCTCTTTAGGCAGATCCTGACGAATCTCGAGAGCCTGCTGCGCGGCCTGCCCAAGATCACGCGCTCGGCCTCGGAGCCGAATCTCAATCGTACCCAGCTGCAGAACGACGACTTTCTGTTCACGTGCGCCTCGCCCAAGACTCCGGTAAACTTTCAGTTCGGCGCGTTTCCCTTCTATCCGAGCGGCGGGAACATTTGAGTGCCAGCCAGGAGGCGCAGCGCCGTCGAAGATCTGGCTCGCCTCAACGCCGAGAACGACATGTGCGACATGTTTCTGAAGCTGCTGTGCCGCGCGAGGTACGATCGCTGCGGCAGGCAAGCTTAGGTACGCGATTTAATAATTGACGATGGATTATAAATGGATGGGACTGTGACGAGTGCGCGCCATATCGATCCAGTTTTTTTTTTTTTTTTTTCATGGCTGTACGCGCGATCCGCGTTGACGAGGCTTGGCAGCGAAGAGATGGAAAATGAGCGACGTTAAAGTTGTACGCGCGTGGCGTACCTTGTCCATATTACTGTATACATTATTATACTTAAAACGTATATCGTGTAAAAACGATCGTTGCGATTCAACGATTGCGCGTACAATGTGAAAATTCGAATGCACGGCGTGTGAATGAAAAAAACAAATTGTTCAATTTTCATCAAGTGCTTGTGATATATTAACAAAATATGTTTGATCGAATTTGGCTTCGAGTCTTTCATGAACTACGACTGTTCATTGTAAATATGTATTGACTTGTATGCTTCGTTGTCTGCCTGTGCACATTTGTACACTCTTCCTCTTACTATACTTACGATATGTAAAAAGAACACTGACTATTATTTGCGCATTATGTTCAGGGACATTATCAAGTGGAGAATACATTTTAAGATAAAATATTCATTGCTCCGTGCAAAAGTAAAGAATAAAAACATTACAATCTTGAAATGTGATACGTATTATATAGTATTGTATATAAATGAACTGATCAATGATATATTGTATTATTTTTCTTAATGTGTGCAAAGAAAAAGTGAACGGTCCTAGAAAGATTTCATTTTTCTACTAAATGGTTACGATTTTTTTTTATTATAATTGTAATTGTGCAGAATACCGCTCCACGAATAAATTAAATACGATGAAGTCGTAAAAATAATTAATGCTTCGAAACGAGAGCCAATTTTTAATTTGTTCCTCAAAAACTTATACATTCTGCGCATTGCGTTTGACGTACGAAAAATTTACAGTTAATGTTTTGTAAAAAGTTAACAGTCATTTTTGTCCTGGAAATACGAACGAACTTGAGCATTAACGACAACATTATCATATATTTTTTTAAATCGATAGTAAAAATTATACTATTAAACATATTTCTAACTTGAAAAAAAAAAAAATGAAAATAGTTATGATAAGATGAAAAAAAAAGGATGAGGAGTTTTCTCCATTAACCGTTGCATCATAAACTAATTATATGTCGTCACACATCACATAAAACTAATGTATCCTTGAAAAGGATGTAAATATCGATGATTTAAATTCAAAGAAACGTTTTTGAATTATAGAATGCCAGTGGATACAGATATTGATTATAGCATTTATAGAAATCTTAGTGAGTGACCGAGCGATCGGGAGAGAAATTGCAAAAACAAAAGTATGTCTTTGGCAGGTATGAATTTTGTATTTTCACTAAAAGATGAAGAACGTTATTGCTATCTATATATATTAATTATACAATTTTTTTTAAATAAAATGAAATAAAACTTTACGTGTCTTAAATTTGTAAAAAATATATCTTGTTTCCAAAACATTCGTGTAATACACGTATATTATTACTATTTTGCTAAATGCGAATGACAATGGACCTATACTAAAATTACATCGCTATTGGACCCATTGGATCCTTCACTATGCTACGATGATTCATGAGAACTGGTTTCGTCAGGATTTTGATTTTTCACCAGACAGCGGATTTAGTAAGTAAAATTCATAAGACGATATTCATATAGTCCCAATCTCCAAATCGAAGCAACGCAGCTTCTTCAATCGGTCTCGAGTCTGTTCCTCTAAGTTTTGCCATTTTACTATGAAAGTTTAAAAAATCGAACCTCACGTTTTCACTGTGCCCATGTTAGACAATAATAGATAAAATCGCGGCCGCATTTTCCCTTTCTGTTCTCTCAGATCATTTATCCATCAAGAAATTTTGAGAGACTATAGCGAATATCTCGCGAGCTTTTCGAGCCGTCCGAAGTGTATATGGAAAAAGAGATTTATACCATGTGCGCATGATACTGAAGCATGTACAACGTCGAATCAATCAACAATATCAACAACGAATTTTACGAAATCGTCATTTTAATCTAGCGTTTTTAAAGCAACGATATATAATATTGAATTTGTGTACACCTTTTGAAACTCGTCAACTTTTAGCTTGCACACTCTATGCACATAGCTGTAGTTATTATTATTATTAAAAAAGGAGAAAGAGAATTATGCGAGCGAGGAAATTATTATACAAAGATCGAATCGGCGACACCGATTTTATGTGCATACCATCATATACACGTGCGTCTGACTAAATCTAATAGCTTACTACTTGTTGAGTCACGCAGTTTTTTATTTCATCTTTCTTCATACATTTTGCGCTTTTATAATAATAATTAATAATTCAGGGTTCAACGAGTGAATGTGTATTAATGCGTCTCCAATAATATGAAAACAAGAAGCTCATTAAATGTTTGTATGGTTAAATTTTCAGGCTCGTTTCGTCATATAGACTTGTGTGCAAAAGACTTAATCAGAGTAGTCATTTCATTATCTCACTTATGCAATCAATGTCAGATAAGCGAAAATCGTATTTCCTTTTAGCTCATGTAGGCCACTCCTTCGCAGCCCACACACACATACACATACACATTGAAGAGGGAAAAACCTTAAAATGCATTGAAATTAAACGATTGCCGCAGTTTTCATACTAGCGACACGGAAGTGACGATTTCCCTACCACTGCGCAAAGCGGAGAAAAGATATTTTCGGTCCACAAGGTAAGAAATAGTATATTACAGTACAAACAGTATTGGTAAAAGGACCGCCACCACACAAATTTTTTTAAAAAAAACTTTTATTAAAACAATAATGAGAGTTTTTACTAATTTTAAAGAAACGTAGAGAACATTTTTTGGTTCAAATTAAATTATTCACTTTGTTTTGTTCGGTACGAATTTATTTTTATTACCGATCACGTCTCTTTCGTTAGAAATAATCGGTATGTCAGCCAATTTATAAAAATCGTTCGCTCTAGCGCGTTTTTGATCAATTCAGTATTGTCTATCATTACTTGAGGTTTATCAAAAATCCAGAAACTAACTAAATGCTCGTCCCATGCAAAGATCCAAACAAGACATGAAAAAAACTATTTGGGCTGATCCATGCATGAATAAATGGAGAAACTAACTGGCTAAAAAATAAACACAGAGTAGTAATTAGTAACACGCGACATTTGGTACAAAAATAAAACACCACATCGACAGTGTACAATAGTGTAATCATAGTTAATCGCCCAAGATTCAAGTAAAACATCATCATTTTGGCTCAATGTTTATTGAAATTAAAAAAAAATGTGTTCAAGAGTCTATTTACAATTGTCAATCATTATTTCTTCTCGCATGCATAATCATAACGACCCTTATGAATTGTCTTTTGGTGGTTGAGCAAATGATGTTTAGTTCCGAATTTCTTCTCGCATTTGTCACATGCAAAATCTTTACGACCTTCGTGTATTGTCTTATGATGAATTACTAAAGTCGATTTGTATCCAAATTTCTTCTGGCACCTGTCACATGCGTAATCTTTTCGACCTTCATGTACTGTTTTTTGGTGCTTTAATAAATCAGATTTTAGTCCGAATTTCTTCTCGCACTTGTCACACGCGAAATCTTTGTGACCTTCATGGACTGTTCTTTGGTGCAAAAGCAAATGATGTTTAAGTCCGAATTTCTTCTCGCATTTGTCACATTCGAAATCTTTACGACTTTCGTGAATTATCCTTTGATGCAAAAGTAAGCGACATTTTTGTCCAAATTTCTTATCGCACTTGTCGCATGCGTAGTCTTTGCGGCCCTCGTGTACTGCCTTTTGATGAAGAAGCAAAGACTGTTTGGTTGTAAATTTTTTTTCGCACTTATCGCATGCGAAATCTTTGTGACCCACATGGACTGATTTTTTGTGTCTGATCAAAATCGATTTTAGCCCAAATTTCTCCTCACAAACGTTGCATACGAAATCTTTGCGACCCTTGTGGACCGAATTTTGGTGGCGGAGCAAATTCGATAGGCGTCCAAATTTCTTATCACACCTGTCGCATGGGAAATCTTTGCGACCTTCGTGAACTGCTATTTGGTGCCGAAACAAATCGATTTTGAGTCCGAATTTCTTCTCGCATTTGTCGCATGCGTAATCTTTCCGATTTTCATGTACTATCCTTTGGTGGCGTAGCAAAAGCCATTTATATCCAACTTTTTTCTCGCATTTGTCGCATGCGTAATCTTTGCAACCTTCGTGTACTATCTTTTTGTGTCTGACCAATTGTGAATTATATCTAAATTTCGTCTCACAATTTTCACATGTGAAATCCTTTTGACCTTCGTGGATTGTTTTTTGGTGGATGAGCCAATGCTGTTTATGTTTAAATTTGTTCTCGCATTCGCCGCATGCGAAATCTTTTGGACCTTCGTGGACTGTCTTTTGATGAAAGAGCAAATTTGATTTATTTCCAAATTTTTTCTCGCATTGATGACATGCGAAATCTCTCCGATTTTCGTGTACTGTCTTTTGGTGTAAAAGCAAATGCACATTTTGTCCAAATTTTTTCTCGCGCTTTTCGCATGCATGATCTTTAAGACCCTCATGAACTGTTGTCACGTGCATGACTAAATTTCGCTTATTTGCAAATTTCTTTCCACAGTTGTTACATAAGTAGGTGAAATCTTTCTGACCCTCGTGTACTCTCTTTATATGCATGAGCAAACTATGTTTATTTCGAAATCTCTTCGCGCATATTTCACATAAGTAATCTTTACGAACTTCGTGAACTGTCTTCATGTGGAAGATTAAATCAACTTTTTTTCCGAATTTCTCTTCGCACTTGTTGCATGCAAAATCTTTGGGGCCCTCGTGGACTGTCTTTATGTGCAGAAGCAAACTCTGTTTATTTCCAAATCTTTTCGCGCACTTTTCACATAAGTAATCTTTGAAAACTTCGTGGAATATCTTATTGTGCTTGAGTAAAGTTAATTTATTTTCAAATTTCCTCTCGCACTTGTTGCAAATGAAATCGGCGTAATCTTTATGAACTAATTTTTGATGCGTAAATAAACTCGATTGTTTAACAAATTTTTTCTCACATCTGTCGCATGCAAAATTTTTGCAGCCTTTATGTACCAATATTTGGTGTCTACTCAAATGACTTCTAAATTCAAATTTCATGTCACACTTGTCGCATTCATAATCTTTTTTTTCATTGTGAATTGTCTCTCGACGTGTTATCATGCTTGATTCTAATGTAAATGCATCTCGGTAAATATCACAAACATATTTTTTGTTGTCTGTAACCACAATGTCATGTTCAATCAAATTATCTTTAGACACAACTTTTTCCGATTTCTTTTCATGTTTGTCCATTTTTGTGCCTAAATTGACCGATGGATTTTTCTATTTAGGAAATTAAACTCGTAAAATGTATCTTTTGGTATTATGGCTTGCTTCACTAGGTAAGACCGTATTCGAACTAATTTGTTTTTACTATAACATGATCAGTGAGTCGAGGGACAATTTGAAAATCGCTCATGTTCATATTGTTTACAATTGAGGTGCCGATTTGTGTGTTTATACATTGCTTATACAATATTCAAACAATCAAAAATTGTAACTTAATGATAATTGTGTCGAGGCGATTTTTGACCTTCTAAAACTAAGTACTTTCCAAAAAAAGTCCCGACACAACTGGGGACAGTACATAATCGATTAAATCAATTTGAAGCCTTGAAAATGCTATGAAGAACATAAGAATTAAAGAAGATTCAAGTAAAACACAATATTTCTGGTACAATGTTTATTGAAATTTTAGAAAAACATATGTATAAGTATCTATAGATATTTACAATTGTCAGTCATTATTGCTTCTCGAAATTTTGGCATGCATAATCTTTGGCATCTTCGTGTATTTTCCTCTGACGTGTCTCTGAACTATGTCCACTTTTTCCCTCGCACTTGTCGCATAAGTGATCTTATTTTTGTTCTTCGTGGAATGTCCGTTGGTGCTTAAACAAATTCGATCTCAGCCCAAATTTTTTCGCGCAATAGCAAAATCTTTCCGACCTTCGTGGACTATTTTTTGATGTTTTATCAAACTGCTTTGAGTCCCAAATTTCTTCTCGCACTCGTCTGATGGGTAGTCTTTGCGACCCTCGTGTACAGTCTTCTGATGTTTATTTAATTTAGAATTTTCTCCAAATTTCTTCTCACACTTGTCACATGCGAAATCTTTGTGACCTTCGTGGACTATCTTTTGATGTTTTATCAAATTGCTTTGAGTCCCGAATTTCTGCTCGCACCTGGCACATGCAAAATCCTTTCGACCTTCGTGTACTGTCCTTTGGTGAAAGAGCAAATGATGTTTTAGTGCAAATTTCTTCTCGCACTTGTCACATACGAAATCTTTACTACCTTCATGGACTATTTCTTGATGTCTGATCAAATTTG